TAGGTGTGCCATCCTGCGGCCAGTGGATCGTTTTTTTTTTTTTTTCCCCCTCTTTTTTTCCTTTCCACACGTTCGGAAAAGCGAGCCTTTGCCTCGGGGAGAAGCGTGCGCAGTGGATTCCAAGTCGGGTCCCCACGAAGGAAGCCTCGGATCCCAGGAAGCGCGAACATCTCCGTGCCCCAGCCAGCCGGCACAGTGAGGCCCGTGGGTGCAGGGGTTGCTTGTGATGCGGCTCCAAAAGGAAGATTTAAGGCTTTGCTTTCCCTTTGGCCAAGTCTCTACCCGTTTGGAGGGCTAGGGAGCGAAATCTTTGGAGTTCCCGCTCCATGTTGAGATGTTCACTCTGGGGGGCGGCAAACCACGGGACAATGCCACCAGGCACCAGGCTCAAAACGAGTCTCGGGTAAACATGGGTCGGGCATGCGGCCCAAGTCAACATCTCGTCCATCATGAATCCAGCGGCGGCCTGGTCTTGGCCGCCTTTTGACCCCAACGGCATCCGCGGCCCGCACCCCGCCTTGCCCAGTGTGGGTGACTTCATGGGCGTTGAGGCATTGCAGGCGGGCGAGGGAGCGAGGGAAGTAAGTGGGGGGATGGAAAGGTCTGGTCGCATAGGGCCAATGGCCCTGACGGATTGGCCCAAGTTGTGATTTGAGCGACGTCTCCGTTATTTTGTGCCTGGTGTAATCCTATGACCATCAGCTGGCTCTCCTTCGCTTGGATTGAGTGGCGCATGAGGACGTCCAGGTTCGACCCTCTCACATGCACCTGGGCTCTTAGGAAGTTGGCTGACCTACATGCACGTGCCAGGTTTCACGTCCCAAGCCCTCCCCGATTTGTACGAAGACAATCGAAGACAGAACCAGGATGAGAGAACCAAACCGGAGAGCGACCTGAGGCCCCGCGGACGAAGGCGACGTCCCAGCTCACCGCGGGCCCGGAGGCGAAACACGGGTACTGGTGATGAAAGGTTCCGGACGGCGTGCGAAACCCATGTCGGCCAGTCGAAAATGAAAGCAAGTGGGGGATGGTTGCGAAATCCATTTCGCACCACCCAAGAAACCCTGGAAAGATGCAATTCTTCTGCAAATGCCTCACAAGAAGAAACCTGGAATGATGCGATTCCCCCTGCAAATGCCAACAGGCAACGGTTTCTCACAATTTCCAGGTGTTGCAAAATTGCGTCCATCCAAAGTATGGCGACGCCTTGGGTATCGAAAACGCAGATGGTTGAGGGGATCCCTCCTTGTTTTTTTAGCGGGTTAGAATTCCTACTAAATTGTGCCGGGGTGATGCCGGGACCTCTCTAGAGCTGAGCTTCTGGTTAGGCGATATGTGAACCATTCGGCTAGCTGGACGACTGTTGCAGGAAAGTTGAAAGCGAATCGGAACCTGCCTCGCGCGCTGCAAAAAGGCAGTCAAGCCAACGGAGAAGCAGAAAAAAACATACTCCCTAGAAATATGGAAGCCCAAAAGTATGGATTCGAGGTGGATGCCGTAAACATCGCAAGTAAGGGAAGGAGATTGTGGTTTTGTGGCGTGGTTTTGTGGCGTTGTGGTTGTGTGGGTAGGTTTGCTTCAGGAAATGGTATCCACCGTGGCGAGGATCCATGATGTCTTCCCACCTGCTGTTGGGGTGGATCCCCTTTCCGCCGTCCAGGTGCGGACGCTCAGCATCCCGCGCTCCGCCTTCGAGGCGCGGAATTTTTTATTTTAATGTCACGCGTCGGAACAGCTGGGGAAAGCCAATCAGCAAAGGAGGGCTTCTCCAAGCTTCTGGTCCCCTTTCCCCTCAAAAAGGAATCCTTCACTACAAGGGGGTCGATCATTGTTCCACCAAAGGGGGCAACAAAAGCCCTGGTGTTTCCACTTGGAAGGAAAAATAAGGGACTTTCTCTCCATTTTCGAACGTTGCCGCAGTCTCATGCCAAGCACTGAGCACCGTCTGCGTTCGCGGCGTGTCGATGGGAGGAGTTGAACCTGATGCAGCGCAAGCTGAAGCGAGAGGAGCGGCTCAAGGCGAGTGGAGTGGGCAGCTGGGGCCCGCTGGGTGCTGGAAGTGCCAAATGGGTGGGGCTGGTTTTAGCCTTTGCTACCAGGGTGGCATTATGGTAGCCAAATAGGACGGACATCAAGGATTTCTTCTGGGGTGCCTCTTTTTTTTTGTGGGGGGGGGGGGGTTGACTTGAGAGATCGATTGCCCTCCCCCCACATAGAACGGGCTTATGACCAATGGGGGGGTTTCCATTAAACCGCCTGAAGTGCACCCTCGCCTCGGAAGAGTGCGATCGGGAGAAAAATAAGACCCCCCAAAAGCAATTTTGAGAAGCCCTCAAAACGTGCACTTCAAGGGACCCAGTGCCGGCCTGGAGGGGGGATGCACATCCTCCAGACACAACTCTGAAATGGAAGTTCGTCTCGGAGGTTCCATGCTGGTGGTGGGACGGTGCGTTTGAGCTCGAGTGCTGGGATTGCTCACCAGTCGGGTGCTGGGCTGGTTCTCCGCAGGCGAGCAAGCAGCAGACCGCGGCCAAGAAGGAGTCCCTGATGTCTGCCCGGCGAGCCTTGCCGGGGGCGAACTGGCGCATGTAGCGGCGCGCTGGGCGGGTGTTGGTTGCGGGGCTCCTTGCATGCCACGAAGGTGGCCCCGGATTGGCCAAGGCGGACCTAAGCAGCAGGGTTTGCCTCAAGTCATGAGCTGTGGAGTACATGCGAGTGCAAGCTTCAGACAACTACCCAGGCGAGCCACCGATGTAAATGGCTTTGCCTTGTTTCGGCCGCCGGTTTTTGCGGCTCCGCTCATTTGAGACTAGCCACCCACCGTTGAGGGCCCCAACTTGCGGATGTTGGCTTCGCCAGGACGAGTGTCGTGTCAGGGGACGGCAGGCGCCGTTCCGCTTTTTGTGCCACACATTGCCCAGACGCATGCTTTGCTGCCTGTTTCGGCTTGCTATCTGGACAGCCTGGTGGTGGTGGGTGGTGGTGGTGGTGGTGGTGGTGGCGGCGGTGGTGGTGGTGGGGGGCAACTAGCGAAAGCAGGCCAAGTGGCGTTGCATCGGTCCGCCCTTTCACAAGTTTGAGGGTACTAAACAACCAAAACAGCTTATCGGTTCTATGTTAAGCACATGGTTTGAGTATGACGCGCTGTCCATGGCGGTTCTATGTAAAAGACTTGCTTGGGCAGTTTTTGCCCGAGTTTCCATAAAACATAAAGCATTATTTAACGAGCATGGAATCCCAACCATGAGGGATGCCACTGCTCAGTGCTGACAAGTTCTATGTCAATGAGCTACCGATGCAGCCGTGTCGAAGTGGTCCGAATCTGGACAGCTTCCATGTTAATTTTTTTTTGTGTGACATTTACCCGTTGCTTGTTGCATTTCTAGATTCAGGAATGGATGACGCTACTATTCCACAGGATAATGTTGCACCCAGCTCTGCACAAACAGACACGGAACCCCAGAGCACTTCTTTCTTCTTTTTTTGTGTGGGCGGGGGGACCCTTGTCGGATTCCTTGTGGGACTGTACCTTGTCAATTGGTAGGAGAGTGGGGTCCTGTATGTAGGCTTGTGAGTGGGGTCCGCGTGTCAACAAAGAATCTCCAGGCGGGGCCAGGCAGGACGCAGGACCGTCTGGAGTAGCCCCTGGGGCTGTTTTTTCTTCTTTTTTTCTTTCCGTTTTTTGGGTGGACATTTCGATAAGACGGGTGAGGCACTCGGTTTTGTCCGGATTTCAGGAGCATAGTAACATCTATTCAGGGATCAATCAAGCACATCTTCTTGGGCACACAGCAGGTTCTATGTTTCCAACATTGCCATGATCCAACAACACGCCATGTTGTGACATGTCTAGGTTAGTGGCGTTTCACGAAATCGGCTGTGTCCAAAGTTGCGCGCCCAGCGCAGGAGGGTACCTTGTTCTTTGGGTAGGACCCTTCGACTTTGCCCCCCGGCAGGTGCAGAGTGACGGGTCACGACCTGGTTCTGAACTACGAGAAGACCGAGGATGACAGGCACACGTGCCTTTTCGGGGCAAGGGGAGCCACAGACTCAAGCGTGCGTGTTGTGTTGGAGGCTGGCGCAGTTTCTCCAGGCATCCAATTTTCGGGCAACCCTTAGTTGGTGGTTTGGATGGGTGGGGATTTGGTCCCTTGGTTCTTGTAGAGGGTTAGCTGGGACCCCCCAGCTTAGAGGGAAGCTGGACATGTTTCGCGCAGTCCAGGCAGATGATCGCCAAAGGCCTCAAGAGCAACAAGGTCCTCTCAGAGGCAGCGGTTGAGTCCGACCCGAGTGCTGTGTTTCCCGTCGAGAACGCCGGTTCTCGCAGGGTTCCCCTGTGCGGAAACCCGTGGCAACCAACAAGGCCTGCCACTCTTTTATTGTGGGAAGCTGGGTCAGTCTGTCTCCGCGGTATTTGGGTGGTTTTGGTGTGGGGTTTTGGGAGGCTGGAAATGCTCCAGACTATCCAGGATTGGGTCCCCTTTTGGCAAGGAACTGATCTATTTTCAAGAGTTCCCCGTTGACTTTCATCTCCCCAATTTCCTAAAGATGCTTCAAAGGGAAGCCATCACTACTGGATATGGCCATGGGTCAAAATCCCGTACCTGGAGTGAACTAGACTAAAATGGGTGGTGCACCTACCCCAAAATGGGATCCCATTGGTTTTGACAACCACAGCCATCTGTTTTTTTTTCCTCCCCCACGTGGCTTATAGAAGCCAATGGACGCTGACCACATATTTCTCATTTCTCGCCCGTCGGCTTCCCGGAGCCGAGGAAGGAACGCGAAACGCGGCGACGTTTCGGTGCTGAGGTCCTGGGACTGACCCACGAGCAGTGCGAAGAGGTGGTCAACGGTACCCACCTCATCGAGGCGAAGCCAAAGCCGCATGAGGGGATGAGGGGATGAGGGGATGAGGGGATGAGGGGATGAGGGGGCTGGGAGGATTTTTTGGTACCATGACCCCTCCATCTGGGTGTGGCTCAAAATGAAACAGGAGTGGGAGGGGCTTCGCGCCTTGGCGCTTGGCTCGAGCCGGGCCTTTTCGGGGCCCGGCGCGCCAAATCGGCCGATTTGCACAAGTCGGGCGGAGTCTTGGAGCTTCGGCCGCTTCGGCCGCTTCGGCCGCTTCGGCCCGCCATGCAGTGGCGCCGAAAAGTGGCCCGGGCGGAGGAGACAGATGGCCTCTTTCCGGTAATCTCACCGAGGCCTTGGAGAGACCTAAGTCCATTTAAGGCCTTGCTGAGGCCTTAGGCCTCAAGCTGGCGCCTTGAGCTGTGTGCTCACCTACTCATATCTAAGATTGCACGGATTCCTATTTCCCCCCCTATTGCGGGCATACGACTCCTTCTCAACCGAACCAACATGCACAAAGCACAAAATACCGTCGTTCTCAGCAAGCTTCGTGAGATGGTGTAATTCGGGGCCATCTCGGATAAGCTAATGGGGTTGATAGGAGATAGCCATAGCCCGTGTGTAGACCCTTAGGGCTGCCGCCCACTCTTTTTCGCCAACCCCTGAATTCAAAAGAGGTATTAACCGCTGAAAAAACAGCTGGTCTTTCAAACATGGGGCCCATCTTTTTCTTCTCCAGGAGAGGTGCTACAGCCGCGACGCGGAGTCGCTGCTGGGGGAGGAGGTCCCGGAGCCGAGCGCCTTCCAACGCTTGTATCTAGCAGTACCCTTCCTCCTGGCAGCGCCTCGTTCCTGCTTTTTTCTAGCTGGTGGCTGGTGGTGGAGCCTTAACGGAGCTTGGGGTACCTTCCCTCCCACTAAGATCGCAACTGCGGGAGCGTACCTGGAAGATACATTTCCTCTAGTAGGGACCCCCTGTCAGGTGCCATGTTCGTGGAAACAGGGGTATCCAAATTTCGCTTTTACATGGTAGTTTTTTTCCCCCTCCCCCCTGCAAAGGTGACGGAATGGAGCGAGCTTTCGTTTTCGAAGCTGTTTTTGACTGGGATGCGTCCAAGGAACACAGGGAGAGGTAATCAACGACCAAATGCCTGAGGGACCCTATTCTGGGGTGGTTCCTTGATTCTGTTCGTTGCTCAAGCCAGCAGAGAGATTCTTCCTTCTTCCGTTTGCTGTGAGGTCTACGTTAGTTTGTTTCTTTTTCTTTATGTATCCGAAAAAATAGCCGTTGTTTTTGTCAGGGGTGTGATTTTTACTGCGCGCCTCAGGGGTGTATGGCAATTGCTTTGCCCCATTGACTTCACTTCTTGTTCCTTTTCGTGGTTTACTTTTCTTGGCTTTTATGCTTCAATATGTTCTGCTCTGGTTATGATTGTCCAGCCACGCAGGGTCAATCTTGTTGGATATGGGCCGTTTGTTCAGGGAAAGCCACGTTTAGAGGCCCTCCGTAAGGGGGCCGTGCCATGGGGGATTCGCATTCCCCCTCCACGAAATGACTCTTCAAGTCTTGGGAGAGGGGAGGCTCAGTTGCCAGCCGACCTCAGCCGACCTTGTATCCCCATTTCGGCATATTTTTTCCTTGCCCCAGAAGGGCAACCGATCACCTTGTATGTGTCAGAGGGGCAGCCTTCTTGCGGCCCGTGTGTATTTTGCCAAGGGATGTTAGGACTTTAACTTGTTGCCAACTAATGGGTTTCCCGTATTAAACCACTAAAAGTTGTCTACTTTTCGCAGGGGGAGCAGAAAGCAACCCAGGTTTGGCCAAACTGGGGACCTGGGAAAAAACTAGGTCCCCCAGTAGTGCCCTTTTGTTCCCGTACTAAAATAGACTACAGAAATAAAAAAACAAAAAAATCAGGGTACCAACCTATTCTATCCTCTCTGCTGCAGCACCTAGTCTGTTTTTGGGTTTCAATCAACTACTGCATGTTTAGCAACTTTTGGATTGGGTTTTTCCTCCTGAGGACCCTAACTACTATTCTATCCTCTCTGAAGGGCCTAGGCTTCGGCTGGATCGATCAAAGGCCGGCATGGCGCTGGCGGCCTTTAGCCTCAAGGGCGCTCCGGCGTTGCAGCCGGCGCAGGCCACGGAGCTGGTGCAGGCGCGGGTCTGGAAACCTTTTGGGGGCGGGGCACCGGGGGCGGGGGGGGGGGAGAGTGCCTGGAGCTTGGGCGAAGTGGCTTTTCATGATCCCCGTGAAAAAAGGGGCGCCGAACACGGAGGTGGCTTTTCCTCACATGGTCGTTTTCACATGTTTTAAAGCTTGAGGATGTGCTGTGTGAGCCTGGGGTTTGGGGTTGCTCGGAAGGCATGGCCAGAGCACATGCATGTTTTTTTTGGTTAGTATGATTGTTTGTGTCATTGCTACTACAATTTTCCATTATTACACTTATTCTTACTATTATTATTACTATTCTTCTCATTATTATTATTATTTTCATTGCAATAGACCTGCGCATGTATACACACACACACATATATATATATATAGATTTCACACTTTACGTGAGTCTTTCAGGCGCCCTGTTGTGAAGACTTATCGAAGCTCCTTTTGCCGTACGCCCATCTCCAACTTGGTCGTGCAGCTTGAAGAACCTTTGGGTCTGCCCCACTTTGACCGTTTTTCATAGCCATCCCCGTTTCCACAAAACAAGGCCCCAATCAGGCCTTCGCCTTTGTTTGGAAACATGTCGGGGCCTATTTGGGGCCCCTTATTCTGCTACCCAGGCAAAATCAGCCTGTTTGGAGGAAGCCACGGGGTGATTTTCGGGCCATGGCGCGGGCAAGGCGACGGCATCTGGGCTGGACGTTTTTTGCTTCGCGCTGATGGGCCGAAGCGAGGAGACTCCGAGCTCTGAGTTCCGAGGGCTTTGAAGCGGGTGGAAACCCTGCAGAGGAGGGCTTTGAAGCAGGTTACTTCCAAATCGGATCGGCTTGGATCGGTTTGGATTTGCATTTGAAGCCTGGTTCTCGTCAGGAAATTGGAAGCCATGTGCGGAACACCGCCGAACCACCAATTGCAGGAGGCTGATTGCAGGGGGGATCAAAGAGTCTGCTCGCCGACCTTCGCTTCCAGCGATTGTGAGCAGGGTTTTAAGTTCTGACCGCTTTTCAAGCGGAAACCCCCAGGAGCATTCTGCAAAGTAAGCAAAATATGCGCTCGCAACCCTCCAACCTGCGTTTCAGCCACCTTGAACCGAAATGCCCCACTTGAGCACAAAAAAACAGGTGCCATGGTCACAGGCTTTTGCGTGTTAGGGATGGTCACGGACCCCTACGGAGCCTGGGGGACGTCGTAGAGATGCCTTTTTCTTGTTGGGCGGGCAGGGGGCAACGTGGCGCACACAATCCCAACATGCGTCAAAGTGCGTGGGCCCCCAAAAGCGGCTCATGGCTTTCCTTCTCTCTTCCCTTGCCAAGCCGAAGGCCCGAACGCCGAGCAGGCTACAAACTGGACGAAAATTGAGAAGACGCCCTTCTAGAAACGGATCGCCTGGATATTGAAAGAGTGCTAAGAGAGGACCAAAAGGACCAGGAGAAGGAGCCGAGGGGCTGGACAGTGGTTTCGGGGACCCCCAAAAGGAAGACGAGGGGAGTCTGAATTAAGCGTTGACCCGGCTCCAGGAGCAGGGCCTGTTGTTGGCGCAGCAGAAGCAGGGCGCGGGCCTCTTCTCCTGCCCCGCCTGGGCGGTCTTTGGGCCTCAGCAGATGGCCCCGGTGACGAAGGTGCTGTGGGGGCTCAACACCAAGGCGCGGGCTGGAGGGCCCCCCCTTTTTTTTGTTGGTTTCCTTCCTTTTTTTTTGGGGGGGGGGAGGGGGTTGAGGGAGAGGGAGTTTTTTTTTTTTTTTTTTTTTTTTTTAAAAAAAATTGTTGGGGGGGGAGGGTTTCTCTTTCACATTTGGTGCCGAAGAAGGGCCCCTCATGTATACCATGCTCAATTGGGTGGTTTGAGGGGAACGCTAAAGGGAAACGTGCCTTTTGGGTGCGCTTCCTTTGGATTGTGGGGTACGATGAGTTCGTGTTTGATTTCGTCCAGTCAGGGAGGTTGGCCTTGGTGGGCAGATGAGCTCGATTTCTATGTGATTTTCGAATTCCGGTTTGTGACTATCAACCGCGACGTGGTTCTGAAAGTTTAACAGTTTAGCAATTTTTGGGGACCAGTCCTATCTCAGGGTTCCGTGTGGGCCAATTTAACGCGAGTTTCCTTTTGGTGGGTGGATGTTGGAAAAGTCAAGCATTTTGCTAAAAGGCGGAAATTGAGACATGGGCGCTTTGGGTTGCTTTTCCTTAATTTCCCTGAGGCTAACTCCAAAGATTGGTTCCCTCGCAAATTGGAATCTTGAGAGGCTGGGTGCGAAGCTCGATTGCATATATCCGCAAGAATGGCTTTGCCAGCATACGACCAGACCGTACGGGGGGCAGAAATATCTTGAGACACCAAGCATCTTGATACAAGAAAAGGGTACGTACTGTTGACCCAGGGTGATTGAACCCCTGGTTGAGTAATAGTGGGGTGTCCAACACAACCCACAAAGAAAACGCTTGCCCAATAGAGGACTCCTGCTTGGGAGTTTTTGTTTTTCTTTTTTGAAGATAAAATGGGAACACCACAAAGAAAACCGTGGACCTGGTCCAACAAAGAGGGCGGGTTTCGTGTGGTTTTCCCTCTAAAACAACAAACAAAGAACGACAAACCGACACAAACACAAGCAAAACACGAGCCCCCCAAAACAAAAAGACAAAACAAGAAGAACACAACAACACAACTTATTTTTTTTCAAAAAAAAAACAAAAAACGGGAAACACTAAACACGAAAAGCGTCCACGGCCTCAAAGCATGGGCCCCTTCCGCACCCGCGAGTAGCGCGTATCTCGCGTTGGCGTTTGGCGTTAGGTTCCTTTCGGCGGGCCCTGGAACACGGCGCTGAACACCCCGGTCTTCGCCCGGGTCTGGCAGACGGTGCAGCAGCTGCCCGAGGCTGTGGCGCACGCATGGAGCCGCGATGGAAGGGTGGGGGTGGGGTGGTGGGGGGTGTGGGGGGGGGTGGATGGGGGTGGGGTGGGGTGGGGCGGGTGGGGTGGGTGGGGTGGGTGGGGGTGGGTGGGTGGGGGTGGGTGGGTGGTGGTGGGTGGGTGGTGGGTGGGAGGTTGTGGGTGGGTGGTGGGTGGGTGGGTGGGTGGGTGGGTGGGTGGGTGGGTGGGTGGGTGGGTGGGTGGGTGGGTGGGTGGGTGGGTGGGTGGGTGGGTGGGTGGGTGGGGTCGGCGGGGGTGGAATGGGTGGTGTGTGTGTCCTCAAGAGGAAAGGCCGCCCGCCCAGTCCAAGGAGGGAACATCTGGTGGATGTGCAACACTGAGAATCGGCATGCCGTTGGGAAGGAGGATCGGTTGCTCCATCTCGTCGGCTCGTTGATTAACATGGGGGTGATTCCCTCCAAGAGTGATGAGTCAGTTGGTTGGTTCCATTTTGGTTCTGCTCGTTTGGTTTTTGTTTGGTCCCGCTTGGTTTCCGGGTGTTTACCTTCTTGGTTTGCCAAAAAAGGATTTGAACCTAGTGATGGGAACCCCGGATCAATCAGCCCCTGGTTGATAGTTGAAGGGGTGTCCGCTTTTTGTGGGGAATCAGACACTTCCTAATTCTAGGGGATTATTGATCCGGTGTCAACACGTTGACCCCCTATGTCTCAACCCCAGGTTATTCATAGGCTTTTCTGAGGCGCCACCACCGCCTATTAATAAACTGGGGTTATTGATATGTCGGGCCAACATTTAGCCCACAATTTTTTGGTCCGAAAATTTGACCCCAAAACATGGGTTTTGTTGGGCTGCAGGGCTGAGTCAGTTCCATGAGCCGAGGATCGTGAAGGTGGACCCGGACACGGTCTTCCTGCCGGCGCGCCTAGGGCCGCTGCTGCCTTCGAAGCCGGGGCGGGTCTTTCTGGAGAACTGCCAGGAGTGGGGTGGGTGGGTGCGCTGATTCTCTTGGGGTCGGAACTCGCTACAACCCGCCTCCTTTCACCAAGGCTGGCATAGCCTTCAACCTTCAATTTTCTTCCTCTTCAGCTTTCTCACCCGCACTTGACTCCATGACCCGCACTGACCATGTTATCATCTACTGTCCATCGTCCTCTGATTTTCTTGGTGCGAGAGATGCAGGGAATCAGCACTGGAATGCCCCTGTAAACTGTCCAACTGGTGGTTTCCTTCATGGGCACCAAAGCCTGGGTTCATTGAAAAAGTATCAGCTTTCGCGGTTTGGTGGCTCGGGTTGGTTTTTTTGTTATTCATCATGTACCTTCCACAAAAGCCAAGAGTTCAAGAAGTTCGCAGCCATGAACCAACCCAAACCCCAAACACCTGATATGTTTTACTTAAAGAGTTGGCGGCGGCGGCACCCTTTTGGCAGGCTTTGGAGGGAAACCAATGGAGGAAATCAAGATAAGATGAAGCCATTGTGGATTTTGGGGGTCCAAAACCCAAAATAAGACATCAAACTGGGAGAGACATAGAGAGAGAGAGAGAGAGAAAGACAGGAAAAGAGAGAGAAAGAGAGAGAGAGAAAGAGAGGGAAAGAGAGAGAAAGAGAGAGAAAGATGGATAAAGAGCCAACAAAAGAGAGAGAGAGAGAAAGAGAGGGAAAGAGAGAGAAAGAGAGAGCGAGAAAGAGAGAGAGAGAGAGAGAGAGAGAGAGAGAGGGAGGGAGGGAGGGAGGGAGGGAGGGAGAGAGAGTTGCGCTTTCGGCGAGGCTTTTTCTGATTGATTAAAATGATCAGTTGCCCAGAGGGGGAATACACGGCCCGGAATCCGAGCTGAGCCGTCTTTTTTTCATGTCTGCCAGCGAAGCCCCGCACAGGAGGGCTTGCATGGGCCAGTGGAGGTGCTGTCCACCGAGACAGTGAAGCAGGGGCCACAAAGCCGAGGGGCTGCCATGGCTCGTGTTGGAGTGCTGCTTTCGCGTGGCTCCTGAGAAGTGGGCTGGACGTAAGTCTGTAAATGATGTCCGCAGGATCCCCTAACCAAACATCATACCCGTAGGGTTTTTGGCGTTCCAGGTTAACATTGGCTTGGGTGTACCTTTTTCAGGGTTGTCGGAGAAGGGTTTCTCCGAGAAATTGAAGAACACTGGGAAGCTTATTTCGTCCAGTTTCGCGGTTTGAATAAGCTTGGTTCATCCATGTGAGGGAACAGCCGTGCTTGCTGGAAACACGGTTTCCAACAGCTGCGCAGATTCCGTTTGGACAGACTCAGAGTTTACATAGACCAGGCAACGGCACCCGGGCTTACAACAACATTTTCGTTGTTCTTCAAGGAGAATGAATCACCCCCCCCCCAAAGCAATATTTCGGAGCCCTCAGTTTTGAGCCGGCAAAAGAATCGCCCAAATTCGGATGAACATTCGAATAGAATAGCACATCCCAAGACGTGTGCACAAAGCATACTTTTCTCACCGATTTTTCAACGCAAGCGACTTGAGGGTCATGGCAGCGAATGTCGCTCGCCCACAGCATACATCCCCCCGATGGGTATCGGAGCGCGAAAGCCAATGCTCACCCATTCGTTGGCACATGGTGCGCCAACGAGAGCAAAACGGAGCAACGATTCGAGCTCCGTGGGAAAGGCGGCAATAGGCAGTCGGGATTTGTGGTTGAAGTAGGCATGGGGTTTCGAAGCGTCAGCGCCGATTTGACGCCTTTTGTTGGATCCAGAACTGGGACATGGTTCGGTGGCACCATTGTCCCTTATGTTTGGGGTTCCCCATCATCATGGTGAACCAAGAAAGTTTCTTTTTGCTAGGGTCGTTGGTTGCAAGGGGGGGGAAGCCAGAATTCAGGCGTTTGAGCCACCGAATGCTCGGGGCCTCTTTTGCAGCTGGGCGAGGCACATCGACTGGGCGGTTTGCGGGGCCATCCCCCAGGAGGACCACGCGAGGGTCTTCAACGGTGGTTTATGACATCACCTCTTTGGCCCCAGAAGCGTGTGTCGTTTTTAGGGTACCCCACACAAATTGTGGTTGTCCTCTTGGTTCCCGTGTGAACACACAAATCACGGTAGTACCAACTAAAACCCCGTAAGTGAGGTTCCCTCAGAAGTGCTGTCAAAAGGTTGGAATTGCAAGCCCTGCCTGTCGTCTGGCATGTACCGACCATGGTCTCTTTTGGCCATCTTATTAGTTGGGGGCTCTTTGGAGGGTCTGTAGGGTCTCTGTCAGCGAAAGAAAAACACACAGCCTACAACCGACTTAGTCGGATGTCCCTGACGTCTCCGATGTCCCGACATTCTCGGATTTATTCGGCGCCCACCTTTTTTTTTAGTGGTTGGTTTTTGTTGTTTGTGTGCTTGTGTCCTTCTTTGCCACTTTGCACACCGGCTGCCCTTAAGTCCGGTGCGTCCTGCGCTGGGGCTCTGTATCCTTCAGGCTTGTTGGCGCTTGCTGGCGGAACTGTTAGACTACAGTTTTCCTAATTGCTTGTCTGCAAACTGTACTTACTCTCCATGCCCCTCCAAATGAGTCTGTGTATGTGTGCCTCTTTGCTTTGAGGGTGCCTCTGCGGGGGTTGGTTTAAAGGAACACCACCGAGAAAGCCGCCAGTTGGAGGGCCAACATCCCTGCTTCGACATCCCCAATCGCTGCCTTCCCTTTGGTTCACCTGACAATATCCATCCTGAATAGAGGCTAGCCTCCTTTCAAGGGACCCAGTTGGGCGTGTTCTTTTTGAATACCCCCTTCCTTATGTGGTTTTAAAGTTCGAAGCCAGAAATGGAAAAAACCACAAAAATCCATCTTCTTCTTCTGAAACCTCCTCCCCCCCCTGTGTCTGTTTTTGACCAATGTTGATGGCCCGCAACCATTTGGCTCAAGGCCCATCTGTACCATAGCAATACTCATGATTGCGTGACAAAGGAACCTTTGCAGGCCGCTTACAGGGACAATCCATCCTCCAATCATCAATATTGGCATATTGGACTCTCTCCGGAATAGATCCAGGGACCACATAAACGACCTCTACTACCACAGGGCACCAGTTCTGTTCTGGGATAGGTACCCCCGGCAGTGGGCCTCAATTGTGGTAGCGGAAAAATGTCATCCGATGGAGAAGGCTTCATGGAGGCCATTGGAGGCCTATTCAAGTATGGCCAAATCATCCGGCTATACGGAGGAAACACTTGCCTTATCGATGACCGCCAAGCAGCCGCCATCGTACGACGGAAAAGTCAGCTGGTTCAGGTATGAAGAACTCGTGGACGACTGGGTGACAATCACCACAGTGGAAGCACCCAAGAGAGGACCACTCCTCAAAGGCAGACTCACAGGAGATGCTTACATGTACAAGGCAGTCCTCCAAAATGACCTTTTGCAGGATCCTGATAAAGGAGTCAACTATTTCAAGAACACGCTGAAGAAGTACTTCCTGAAAGGTGCGACCAACGTGTATCTGTACAGGCTCCTCAGTTTCTTCAATCACAGAAGGCAGAACCAAGAGTTCCTCACTTTCACATCCAAATTCGAAATCCTTCTCATGAGATTGAAGGCAGCATGGATGGACTTGATGCCCGTCTACACGGCACAGTCCCCATCATTTCGACAGTCCGTACAGGACGCAAACAACAGAACAATTGCTCGACATCAGCAAGCAGCCGGTACTCGAGCACCGCCTCCAGTCCTGCTAAATGAGGATGATCCGACAGTCCTCAGACAGTATATCACGGGAATGCAGGACAGACAGCGGGACGCATTTCCCTTCGGGGATAATTTGATTGCGCAGTTTTTCATCATTCAGAGTGAATTGTCAGATCAGCAGAGAGAAAGACTGACCAGTGCCCTGTCACTGAGAAACATTTCACTCGCGAACTACTCCTATGAGATGCTGAAGACGCATTACCATGAACTCTTCATCACGACCAGGACATCCATCCAAGATCCATCCACCCGACCTCAAGGAGGCAACCGAAGCAACACATTCTTCATCCTCGAACAAGGTGAATACGAAGGAGAAGAAGGCTTTTGGGTTGAAGATGAAGAAGGACTTGAAGGATTCATGTCAAACAACGATGAGGAGACATTCTGGGTCCTCGAAGAGAACGATGCGTTCATAGCAAGAAAAGTGTCAGGGCGGAGTTTCAGATTCAAAAAGAGAAAAGGAAAATGAACATCAGGAAACAAAAAGGGAGTCACCAACGAAGTGGCTTTAAACCCTTTCGAAAAAGCGGTTCTGGCGGGAAGGCCAATAGGGCCAATGAAAACTATGATCCCTACGACCAGGCATATTGGGGAAAAGGCAAAGGAAAGAAGGGAAATAAAGGAAAATCCAAATTCCAATATCCCTATGATGGAAACAAAGGTTATCCATCCTATGAGAATGGCAGAGGAAAAGGCGGACATGACAGAGGAAAATCCAAAACGTTCGCAGCCATCGCAGAGAAGCCGGAGGAGCATCCTGCCACGCAGCAAGTTGCTGAACTCCAAGAGCCTGCCTATGCCGGTTGGACAGACCAAGATTGTGATCAATCATGGACGTGGAACGAACAAGGCTGGTACTCATCCCATGAGACATCCAGCGCAGGACAAGCACTAATGGCATTCCATGACGCATATCAGCAGCATGAGAAAGAAGCCATCAACGGGAAGCTGATCCAATCAGATACAGTTTCAGAACACAATTTGTCCGGAACAACAAATCACAGCCTTTTGGCAACAAAGTTGATGGCGCCTGTCATCAACCCTCAGCACAATCCGACCTATGCGATCCTGGACAACGGATATACCAGACCCATGGGCAGCTGGCATGCAATCCAGCGTTTTACTCAGGTCGTTGAACCCATGAAGGACCTCATCTCCTATCAGTACATCCCGGCCGAGACCAAGTTCACTTTTGCAAACGGAGAAACAGCCAAGGTAAATTGGACCTTGCATCTCCGATATCACACAAGTCCTCCATGCAGTACCAACATCGACATCCTGGAGCAAGGAACTGTACCGATCCTCCCCAGCGTCAGTCAGATGCGGAACCTCTACATGACCATCAAGCAGTGACGAGGGCAGACCTCCCATATGCTACCATTGGAGTTTTTCACATCCATCCATCAATAAGCCATGGAGCAGCACGCGACGATTTTCAAACCGAAATCATGCCGCTCGTGACATTGTATCAATGCGATGCGATCACCGGAGACGCCAACAAGTCCGCGAACACCCACAGCAAACGCCAACAGGTCTACAATCCGGCCAACGGTCTCATGAATATCCTCATGAAGGCATACCAGAGATCGTGGAATGAAACGGAGAACTTGCCACTCGTGGACAGAATGGAATACGCAATGGAGACTTCCTGCACCCTGAAATCCATCGTCCGTCATCACCTCTACATGAAGACTGGATCCGGGTTTGATCGAACATTCCCAGATGTCATGATGACTTTCGTATTTGGATGGGGCAAGACGAACATCCAGCAGGATTTCCGGAAGGAAGAGATGGACGCAATGAAAGATGATCGACTGGACGCCATGCGGAACGATCATACGACTGCCGCCTCATCCGCGGAACGTTTCAAGCACGTGAACAACGAGATGTTCATGAATGGCTCTCAAGATTCCCATTCACACAGTCCGCTGATGGTCTACATCCGCAGCAGATCTGCCACCAAGCAGCGAAACTTTGAGCGATCCAAGGAGTACTTCAAGAAAAAGCAATCCTGGACTCAGCAAGAGTATAAGGAATACAACAAGCAGCAGTGAGGCAATCAGAAGCAGTGGAAGGACTACAGCGACTCGACCTGGCACTACGGAGACTACGGCAGCCAATCCGACAGCAGCTATCGGTGGAACCGTTGACTATCTGATGAAGCTGCCATCTCTGGCATCCATTCGACCTCCTTTGGTCTGAGTGATCCGCCAAGGAAAGAAGTTTTTCTGAAGCTCGACTGAGAGAACACCCGAAATCGGCACTACGAATTTCAACCGAATTGATCCTCACTGCCAACAAGACTATTCAGTGAGAGACCAAAAGTTTCACATCCGTCCCGCATGTACATAGCGTTGTACATCATCTTTTAGATACATCTAGGTATCTCACAGAATCAGTACAGACTGTTGTCCATTTTGCAAATCAAGACATTTCATCCGCGCAGAAAACAGGATGAATCCAGTATTTCAATTGACAAGATATCCACTATCTGTCACAAGTAATATACACATGGCTACGGCATAAACCAAGGCTACGGCCAAAGGCCAAGAAGCCAAAGATATTTCATATCTAGTGCCGGCGATCAAAAGAAATTTGTGTCTGTTTTTGTGTCTGTTTTTGACCAATGTTGATCGCCCGCAACCATTTGGCTCAAGGCCCTTCTGTACCATAGCAATACTCATGATTGCGATACAATCTGCCAGGGACAATCCATCCTCCAATCAGGGTACCAGTTCCCTTCTGGGATAGGTACACCCGCAGTGGCCTCCCCGCGAAGAATTCCTTTCGGTTTCCACGAGCCACCCACTGCAAGACCCGGCCAAACCGCTCGACGGAAACCCCGGGTACGCGTGAGGATTTGTGGCTCCAGAGCTGTGCCTTCCGCGCCGGGGCCAAGGCGTTGCCGCGGTATGACCTGCTCTGGGAGCGCCTTGGGCTGTTGAAAACAGTGGCTCCGCAAGTGGCCTTTGTGATCGGTGAGTTACTGGAAAATGGATGGGTTGCGCTGGGAAAGATGGTTTTTAACTCCATTTGCCAGGGCCATCTATTCACAAAAGGTCACCTATGCTCGGCTCTTGAATATCTGCAAAAGGCCAAAGGACGAGCAACCCAGTATTGAAGGGGAACTAGAAGGAACACAAAAAGAGGTTCCCAAACTTTTGACACGCTTACTAGGTCCCCCAGTAGTGCCCTACCCTTTTTTGTGGGGGAGGGTTCCCATACTAAAATGACTACCGCAAAAAGTGGGTACCCTTATTACCTCTCTACTGGAGGACCAAGCTTAGGTTTGTCATTTGGATTCTGGGAAAGCCAGGTTCAGCAAAGTGAATAGTTTAGGTGGTGTTGTCCACTCACAGTTGGGAGGATGTTACTCTGAACCCAGTATAGGGCCCCTGCACAAGGATTGTATAAGGCGTTACGTTTTTGTTTTTGGCAATTCTAAGCAACAACCAACAAGCGTTGTCAAGGGGACGATTGTTTTCATAATCCTTTCACATTGTTCCTTTGGACTCTTGGTCACGTTTGTTGATACCGACGGCAGTGGTTCCACTTTGGGGTCCTGTATCATCATTTTCTAGTGCAATCTATTTGTCCAACAGTGTACCGATGCCAACACAGCCTTTGGATGCCTTGAAGCAAAAGTCTCGGTCCGCGTTTGTTCAGAGGCCTAGGTATCAAATCATTTCCTCCCTCTCCAGAAGGAACGCTAGGGTGAGCCTTGCTTCGGGTCAAGTCGAGCCCGCAGTCTGATGTCTGGGCTTTTCTTGCCCCGACAGGCTGATGGACGCATTGCGGCCAATGAAAATTGAGGCTGTTGCCTGGAGCCTTTCCTCACTTTTCTTTTGGACAACTCCTTTGGAAAACGATCCTTCCCCGGCTCAATGGCCGAAAGTTAGACTTTCGCAGGTCGAAGAGTTCGACATGAGCTTTGTTTTTTGACAAGCTGATGGCGCGGAAATCGGGGATCTGATCCCCCTGTTTTAGTTGGCGGACAGCCACACCGAACCGTCCTCGTCCGTTTTATGTTTTTATTTGTTTTTTCTTTCTCTCAGAAACGCCCATTTGGGTCTGTCTTTTTCTAGGGGGATACCCCTTTTTGGCTGGGTTTTACATGGAAACCACAAGGTAAACCCGAATTTTGTGGGTTCTCTTGACGTTTTTTTTTTGGGCAAAAATACCAGAAACGAGAAACAAACAGAGACAATTGGCCCTTGGGGGTCCACCTGAAACACTCGGCCAGTGGACTCGGGCGCTCGCTCGCGAGGCACGCCTGCCAGCCGCGGTTGGCGGAGAAGGGCAGCTGCGGGGCCTACAACGCGGCCTACCACCCCAGGATCCATCGAAGCGCCGGGCCGGTCGAGTTGGGGGGTTGCTTGAATTCTGGTGGGGGGAAGGTGGGGAGGGTTGGGGGGGAAGGGGGAAGAGGGTGGGCAGGGGGGATGGGGGGTTGCTTGAATTCTTGTTCATGAAGCAGGTGGATGGCTGGGCCATAGATGGGATGTGGATCCTTGTCCGAGGGGTTCCTGAGACCCCATCCCACGCATGAAGAACCCGTGCCCTTCAGGGGCCCTTGAACACAAGCCATCAACAATCGGGAAGGCCTTAGCAAGATTGCATGCAAGACATGGATCTAGCGTGCCACCGGGTCTTGCCCTCTTGAAAGTTCGCGTCCTCACAAGCCTTGCTTGCCTGGCCTCTTTCCAACCCCATGCAACCAAGTGTAGTCCTTTTCGAGGAGACGCTCGCCTTCCGAACTGCTCCCTCCCTTTTTCTGGCCTGGGCCCTGTATGTCTTTACTCCTTGCTTGATGGGAAGATCATCAGTTCGAAGGGGGATCCCCTTCACCGCCACGCGGCGGAGCTCGCAGGAAGAGCTTCACGGCGTGGTGGAAGTGCTGGCTGGAGGCTTCGGCCTTCCCCATCGCGGGGCATTGGCAGGCGACGATTTCGGGGGTCGAGTGCTGTGGTGATGCTGTTTTTGTTTTCCCCTCTCCGCCAGCACCCAACTTTTTTTTTCCGACCCATGCCCAAAAAACCAAGTACTGCCTAAACAGCAGTGGTTGGGACCCGGATGCTGGTTGTTGCCTGGCGGTGTTTGGTTTTGCATTCTTGTGGGGGGCTGGGAGCCGGGAAGGATCAGATCACTGACCGCTCTAGTGCGTCGGCGGGGAAAAGGGACCCTCGCAAAAAGCTTATTTTTTGTGCACGTCCCAGACATATCCAGGAATTTGGTTCCGGAAAGGGGCATGTGCGAGTCCAGTATCAAGCCTCGCGCGAGTACTGGACAATCTTCGATTCCGAGAAGCATTTTGAGAATTACCGCCTTGCATTTTCCGGTGCACTCGCGGCCGAAACTTGTCCATCCTTGTGCAGGACTCATTTTTGCGATGGGCTGACTTTCTGGAAGAAAGCGCCCATTAAAGGGGTTTCTCCACTTGGCCTTTCATTTCTTCCCTCGCCGCCTTGCAGAGAGTTCCGCATGCCCTTGCGCTAAAACGCGGGGGTTTGGGGGTGGGTTTTGTGCAAACCCCAGTTTGGACCTCGTGGTGGATCCATCCTGGAGGAGGAAGATTGAGGAGATGGAGGAAAAAATGAGGAGATGGAGGAAAACTGACTCCTCTATTCTTCCATCCTCCTCCATTTTTCCCCCCAGCCAGGCCATCCAGAACAAGAACTGCCTGCCCGGGCAAGGGGCCGCGGTTTTGGAGGGGCAGAAGGAGCCCTTCTCCTGGTCTTTGGCGCCGGCGCAGTGCATGCAGCACTGCCAGGATCTGCCCGCCTGCCAAGGCAACCGCGCGGCAAAAGGGGAGGTGGCAGGTGTGTCTGTGATTTTTTTGGGCCCCTGGGTGGAGATGGTTTAGGTAGGGGGTTTTCTGTCCGCCAACCACTTTTGAGCGGTTCCTTTTTTCAATTCATGGCCAAATGCTTAGCTCATAGCCTTTTTTTCAGCTTTTTCTTGGCTCCTTTGCTTCACTGATGGATGTGTTTTGACCATTTTGCTCTTTTGGAACATGTTTTTGTCACGTTTTTTTTTTGGTTCTGGCAAATGAGTTCGTTTTTTGGGGCGGTGTTTCGAGGGAACGAGCAAGGCCTCCCGTTGCTCTCTTAGTTCGTCGTCCTTGCATGTGTATTTTTCTTGCTTCTTTGGTGCTGTTCCTAAAATTCAAGTAGCCCTTAGTTGGTGGTGTGGATTTTTTTGTGTTTTGGGATTTGAAGCCCTGGTTCTTGTAGAGGGTACATGAGAATCCACCCCTTAGCCACCAATAAATCACCGGGCTCCCAAGAGCCAACTAGGGGGAAGCTGAAGCTGGCTTTACTTGCTGGTGCTCAGGCCAACGGGTGGTTTCCTTTAAGGTGATCCCTGGCGATCGCAAGTGAGGGGCCGCAAAACTGCGTTGAGGCATCGTCGTGGTAGAGGACCAGGACCCGAGCGCTTGCTATCTGCGCACGGCCATCAAGGTGGAGGCGTGTTTCTATGCACCCGGGCATGTGCTGTGGGTGAAGCCAGGGGTGATCAGACCACCTGCACCTCCACCTCCACCACCTTCACCTCCACCTCCTCCACCTCCTCCGCCCATCGCAACCAGCCCGCCCACCGTGGCGACCACCAAGACCAGCACAAGCACGACAGAAGAGACCACCACAACCGCAACATTTACCACCACCATCACCATAAATGAGGTTATAGAGGATCTCCCAGAAGCGCTGCCTGTGGTGACCCCCTCTGACTCTGGGCCCTTTCCGGGCACTGGCTACGGCGGAGACCGTCATGCAGGCGACGAAAGCCGTGCAGGCGAGCGGGAAAGCGGTGCGGGCGACCGCAAAAGCCTTGCAGTCAGCCGCGGAAGCGACCGCGAAAGCCGTGCAGGCAACCGCGAAAGCGGCGCAGTCGACAGTGAAACCGGCAAGAGCGACAGCAAAAGCAGCACACGCGACCGCGAAAGCGGCGAACGCGACCGCGAAAGCGGCGCAGACGATGATTGGCCTGCCTGGCGAGCTGCGATCACGTGGCGGTACGTCGGCCAGATGGATTGTTTTGACGCGTCGCAGGAGGCGAGCGGCGATGCTTTCTTGCAACACGTTGTGCCTCGGCAAACGGGGTGATGTATGGGCAAACTGCCAGTTCCAATGACTAAAGCTCCTATCAGCTTGATTTGGGCTCGGTTTGGATTTGGAGCTGTGGCCCCCCACCGGGCCAGCTGAGCTCCAACACGCCAACAAAGCTTGATACAGGCATATGTTTGTGATGCTTATGGAGAATCTTTCACAACGGGGCTCAAACTAAATGGTTCCTTTCTATGTGGCTTTAATAGTTGATGTGGGAACATGAACCCCATACGCAAATATCGTGACACACACACAAGCGTTTTGCGATGCAGGGCGGGCCAGCGCAACAGGTTTTGTCGAACGCTCTGATCAGCAAGGTTGTGGCCATTGTCTCATGGGGATTGGGGGGGAGGGAGGAGGAGGGAGCCCAAATAAGCAAGATAGCTGTTAGATCTGAAAGCTGGCGGCTGCTCCTAGGTTCCAGCATGGTATTTGTAGTGAGTTGTGTAGTGGGTAATTATGTAGCTAATGTATTTTATAAAAAAGGATGAGTATATTCAATCAAGTGCATATTCAATAGAATGAATATCAACAAATTGCTCGCAACCCGGCCCTTGGCCTATGTGGGGGTCTAGCCAAGGATCTCGAAGACTGCCAGAGGCAGGGCTGCGTGAGAGAGGACGTCCAAGAATCCGTCATTTTTTTTGTGTTTTACGGGGGGGGGGGGGGAGGCCCACTGCCCCAGGTGCTTACCCGAAGGGAACTGGCACCCTGTGGTAGTAGAGGTCGTTGTGTTGGTCCCTGGATCTATTCCGGAGAGAATCCAATATACCACTGTGGATGATTGGAGGATGGATTGTCCCTGGTGGATTGTCTTGTGGACAATCCTGTAAGCGGCCTGCTAAGGTTCTTTTGCTTCACGCGATCATGAATGATGCAATGATATACAAAAGGGGCCTTGAGCCAAATGTTGCGGGAGATCAATTGGTCTGAGAACCAAACACAAAACAGACACAAATTTCTTTTGATCTCCAGCACTAAGTATGAAATACTATTGGCTTCATGGCCTTTGGCCGTAGCCTTGATGTATGCCGTAGCCATGCTGTATGCCGTAGCCATGTGTATTAAAAATGCCGGATTCATCCTCTTTTCTGCTCGGATGAAATGTCTTGGCTTTCGAAATGGAAAACACTATGTACTGCTTCTTTTTGAGATACCTAGATGTATCAAAGGGTGATGTACAACGCTATGTACACGCGGGACGATTGTGAAACTATTGATCTCTCACTCATGGTATAGTCTTGTAGACGGCGAGGATCAATCATCTGAATTGAGTTCGTGGTGCTGAACGTATGAATCTTCATGGTCAGTCGGATCGACGATACCATCGGCGGCTGCTGTCGGATTGACTGCCATAGTCTCCATAATCATTCCAGGTCGAGTTGCTATAGTCCTTCCACTGCTTCTGATGTCCCCACTGCTTGTTGTAGTCCTTGTACTCCTGCGGGGTCCAGGCTTGTTTCTTCTTGATGTACTCCTGGTATCTCTCAGAGCTGCGTTGCCTGGTTGCAGATTTGCTGCGGATGTAAACCATGAGAGGACTGTGAGAGTCGGAGTCCTGCGAGCCATTCATGAACATGTCATTGTTCACGTGCTTAAAGCGCTCTGCGGATGAGACCTGGTAATCGAATATGGCCTTGGTTGGATGGTTCCGCATGAATTCCAGTTGTTCATCATCCATGCCGTTCATCTCGTCCTTCCGGAAAGCCTGCTGGATGTTCGTTTTGCCCCATCCAAATACGAAAGTCATCATCACATCTGGGAATGTTCGATCATATCCTGATCCACACTTCATGTACAGGTGATGACGGACAATGGATTTTAGGGCGCACGAAGTCTCACAGTCTCTGATATGCTCTCATGAGGATGTTCACGAGACCGTTGGCCGGATTGAAGGCGTGCTGGAGTTTGCTGTAGGTGTTCGCTGATTTGTTGGCGTCTCCGGTGATCGCATCGCATCGGTACAAAGTCACGAGCGGCATGATTTCATTTTGAAGATCTTCCCTTGCTGCTCCATGGCTAATTGAAGGATGGATGTGGAAAACTCCTATGGTAGCGAATGGGAGATCTGCCCTCGTTATGTGGCGGTCGTCATACTCGTGGAGTGACTTGTTGGATGATTTCGGGATCATGCCACGAAACTCATCACTCTGCTCGATATGGAGAACGACGATCTCCTTGTCTCGGCCATGTCCTTGGACAATGGTGCGTGCTGGCAATCTCGGTCCAATGTACTTCTTGGATTCAGTAAACATGGATGGTCCTGTGGTTGCCAAGCAATCCGAGGTCGGAATTTCGTATTCGGGATCAGTGCAACTTCCTTCAGTTCCGAAGAAACATCTGAACATTCCGAATGTGGTTCCCCAATTCTGGCTCTTGGTGGAAATGTGTCTTGCCAGAAGTTCCACTCTTGCAGAAGGTCCGCCACGGACAAAGCATGCGATCGGTCTGGATGACCATTGCTTGATCACGATGCCCTTGTAACCGTATCGGATGAACGTCTTGATGAGCTCCCTGGATTTCTCATCATTAGGACTGAAGAATGCGTCTGCTTCATTCAGGCATAAGATGTGTGCACTGTTCTGCATCATCATCTTTACGATCGGTCGATCCTTCATCGGCATGTTGTACACCTCCCTGTTGTCCAGCTTTGGATTCCTTGTGAGGTTTCCATGGTTCAGGGTAAGCATGTTGATCGCTATGGATGAGGTGAACTCATGCATCTTGAGATAGTCCACAGGAGGACGGTCGGTCGGCTGCATCAGCGATCCCAGGATATCGGCATAGGCTCGGATGATTTCCGGGTCATCATGTGACCTGAGCTTCTTCAATCCAAGCGGAAGCTTAATCGGATATCCGGATCCTGGTTGAGCTTGCTTGTGCTCGTCAATGGTGGGACATTCTCCTCGATGAGGGAAGTAGAATTCTTCTTCTCCAAGATTGACATCGGGATCGACATGTGCCAATGAGGCTCTCTCGCACTCTGTCAAGTTGGGATGAGCTCTTCTTGGATCTTTGTTGAACTTGTTCATGAAGCGGGAGAGGTTTGCCTTGGTCTCCGCGAGCTCTTCCTCTGCGTCCTTTTTGTTCAAATCTGTTTCGAGATAGATTCCCTTGAGTTCTTGGATGAACTCATCTAGGTTAATTGAATTTTGATATTCCACGATGAGTTTTGGCTTGACGGATCTTTCCCTGGAGGGTTCCATCATCTCTTCTTCAGCTTTGTCCTGATCGGTGGAATGCCGTCTCTTCTTGGTCTCTGAGGAAGTATCTTTTTCCTTGCTGTGCTTGGTGGAATTCACATAATTGAAGAAGGCATCGGCAAATTCGCGGATCTTGGTGTCATACATCTCGTAATCTTCATAACTGAGATGCTTCTTCATGATCCACTTGTTGCTCGCCATGAGGCTGCCATCAGGTTCAAATGCTGCAACAATGTTCCTTGCCTCGAGGGTTTTGTCTGTCAACGCTGTTCGCTCTTCGGAGAGTCGGATGCCATAGTCTTGGTCCTTGAGGAATGCAAGGATCAACAGTGCATCTTTTCCTGCTGGCACATGGGTCAATGCGGCTTCTGACTCATCGTCAAGGATGACGTCATCGATGCATGCCATGTGGACGTGCATTCTCCCCGAAGGGTTTGACTGGGATTTCCCAGATTTGAGCCCGTGCTCCATGATGCTGAAGAGCTGATAGGTTGCATGGAACATGAATGTGATGGGCTTCTTCGCGAACGGCTTGATTTTTCTCTCTTCTTCAATGGATGGTGGTGCCGGCCTTCGCATTCTGTGCTTGGGCTGAGCTGTGCCTTCATCTTCATGAGGCGCCTCGGGTCTTGACGGATGCGGACTTGGCGGAATAGATTCCGTTGGTAGATCATAGTCCGGTTCGTCGTGTTGAGGCTCTTTCTGCTGCTCAGAGTACAGGGGTCGTCCAAAGGATTGGATCTCGACTTGTCGTGTGTGTCCGCTGTTGCATCTCACGTAGAACTCCATCTCTGGATCGACATAGAATTCCTTGCCATCGGGCCTGAGTGCATTTTGTGCGGATCTTGTGGTGAGCTTGTCGATCCATCGATTCCTTGGAACAATTTCTCCCCGTGCCTTGCGCTCCTTATATGGCCCGTCCACGGATGGAAATACGAATGCAATTTCGAAACGTGATTTTCCATAGCTCGGGAACATAGCCATCAAGAGAAGTCCTGGCTTATTTCCAATGAAGTTCCTGGCATGTGTGATGCAGGTCAATGCGTCATAGAGCTCGACGGATCCATCAGGACCCATGTCCACTTGTCGTCTGCATTCCTTATGGATTCCATGCCTTGGATCATGTCGAAGACATCCGGAAAATGATCTGCTCATTCTCTCAATTCGCCAGAGGATGAGATCTGTGATCTGTTTCGCCTTGGATGGATCCATGCGGAAGTATTTGCAAACCTGTTCGACATTCTGGACGGTCTTCTCGAGATCAATGTTGCCGTTGTGGCATACCATCGGGATGATGTCGGTTCCGTAAACTTCGGATTGAGCATTGGTGTAGCAGCAGATGCTGTAGACCTTCTTGATGAAGTCCATGTATTGCTTCTCCGTATGAGGTCCTTCACCTTGGAGTGTTGGCTGCCAGTAATCGTTGAATCTGGCCTTCAACCAGAATACCTTAACTCCATGTGGTCTCTCATGCTCAGGAACGAAGTGGAAATCCAGATTGACATCGAGGATGGTTGAGCATTCCCTGTAGTACTCGTACACAAAATTCAGGAATTTTGAGTTTGGGTGTACGGATTCCTTCTGGAGGCTGATGTTTGTATCCGATCCATATGTTACAAACCACCGATCATTGGATGTGAGAACAGGCCGCATCACTGGTCGCCTTGGAAGTGCAGGTCGATCACCAGGATGATTGTCGGATTCCGTCTCTTCATCCAGGATGTTCTTTGGTGCTGGCTTGACCTTGGAGACAAGCCTCAATGCTGGTGGCGGTGACTTTGGAACAAGTTTCGGATGCGGCATCGCCTTTGACGTAGGCCTTCCTGCGGGAGGATGCCCTTCTTCATCTGAATCATCGTCGTCGGAATCTGGATCAATATCAACCTGCTCCATGTTGACATTCTCGGGTTGCTGAGAGGCGGATGGATTCTCATCGGCGACTTGCTCCATGGGGCAGTCTGATGTCTCATCTTCTGGATCGTCCGAAGATCATATTGAGAATGGGCATGTCTTTGAAGTGATCGAGCATACAAGATTGCAAAGGTCGGATTTGTTGTAAACCGAAAGTGGCTGCGGATGCAGACACATATTTCTTGAGATTCAAAATGGGTCAAGTGCAAACACGCGCATCACGGATTTGAGGAATTGAAAATATGCAAAACGGAAAAACTCATGCATCAGAATTCGTGGACATGCGGATCATGCCCAGGTTCCCCAATAAGCAAACATGGATTCTGCTATACCGACTCCTGCAAAGGCAATGATGTCGGGTCCGTGCTTCGTGTTGTGTGCTAGCCACTCAACCAAAAATGCCTTGTTCTGCAACATGGTACGGAAGGGTGGATGTGCATCTACATTCAAGAGATTGCCGGTGAGGACGGCCTTGATGAGCTCGTC